TCATAGTTCTAAAGTTTTTGTTTTGAACTATGGTGATTAGCACCCTACACAGTAGGTTGAATCCCAGGGCAGATTTCAGCAAATGCAAGGGTGGGGTGATTTTTGCCAATTCCTCCTTCCTCATGCAAAGCTTGGGGGGTCCCCTGCCCCCCAGGATAAGCTTTTGGAAGGCATCATGGACTACAGTTGCAGGAGAAGTGATGGAAGTCCACTCTATAGACAGAAATCCCTCCTGTCAGTAGAAATTTTCCACAGGATCAAGCTAGTATCCTCAAATGTGGCCACACCCTACATTTGTATAATGGCATTATGTTACTTGCTTTTTTATTTTCCTTTCCTAATAATTCCAAACACTGAATTGTTCTTTATTCAGAAATAGAGCATGCTGACTTGACCTTTTCTGAGTGCTGTCCACTCTGATCCCAAAATCCTAAATAGATGGTACCAAGTTACAACTTGTTCACAAAAATCTGTGAAATTGGGATTTTGATTTGATTGGGAATGCCTCCTATATTCCCCAGCAGAGAGAACAATATAATGAGGACATAGGAGAGTCACCAAGCCCTCAACTTTCAGGGAGGCCCAGATATATTGTAAACCAAAGTCCACCCAAAAAAGTTTTGTACTATGTTGTTTTCAAGTAGAAAAGATAGCTTCAATAAGTTAAAATTACTGTTGTGGCCATGATTTTTTTCCCCTAGGGCTAACTGAACATTTTAACCAGCTAATTCCTTCCTAACCAACTCCACATGACAAGCTAAGAAGAAGAAACCTAAAAGAAATGCTTCCAATGGAAGCATGGGGGGGGGACAAGCACAGCTAGAAAGAAAGCCGTCTGTGTCTCTCACAGCACCCTGGCCAAACTGGCTCTACAGGCAACTCTCTGTTGCTGCAAATTGAAGATGCTATTATTAAAAAATACCAACTCTAGGGACCTGCCAGGGAGGTGCAGAGAAGGGGGCAGAAAGCGGAGAGCCTCCCAGATAAGCAATTGTTAACATGATCCATATGGTACACAAGTTGCCTCTCTGTTTAACCAAAATGATAATGGCAAAAGGAAAGAATGCATGGGAAGGGGAGGGTGGGGGGTTCCTAAGAGAGAATGGAAGCCAGGACAAAGCCTGCTAGCTAAAGCGTTCCCTGGAGCTGAGTTAAAAGGAAACTCATTGTGAAAGAAGCTGCAGCTTTCTGCTTCTTTGCAGCTTAAGCGGCACAAACTGCACCCACCCCCCACTCCCCCAGCACGTCCAAAATGCAAAGCCCCCAAAACTGAGTTCCCCCCACCACACACTCACTTACAGGAGCATTTTAAAGGAAATTCTAGCAAGATACCTTGTTTAAAGGATACCAACCAAAGAAAATGATCGCAATGCATGTAACCCATCAACCGTACATTTTAACTGTAGTAATGCATCGTTCCAAACAATCAGGGGTGCAAAAGAACCTTTTCTTTTTCTTTTGCCTTCAAGGATGTCCCTGAATGAAAGAAAGAGAGCTTGCCCGTCCCGGGAACTCCTTTTCAAGGATACAATACAGTATCTGTCACGAATTCCCTCCAGAGAGCAGAGAGGGAAAGTGTAAACATGCCCATGGCTAAATAAAGAGAAGTGAAGACAAATGTTTAATTTAATAAACACACTATACCCTTATCACCATCCTGAACCACTGCTGAATTTGAAAAAAGACTAAAAGGCAAAAATAGGTCTGTTTACACCTTTGGTAACAGTTTTAAAACATTGCTTTGAGAACTCAAAGCTCAGGCTTTCTTCAACATTAAAACAGAAAATGAACCTTCTGATCATCATTTTAATTTGTTGTGGGAGATATTTTAAGGAAAGTCTCTACTTTTACAATATACCTACCTCTCTACTGAGTATAATCCTACAAAAATTAACTCACTGATAAATTCCCCTGAGATCAATGGGACATACTCCTAAGAAAGGGCTGTAGAGGATTGCAGACCTAATTGCGTCCAGTCCTTTTTTTTGGGGGGGGGGAGTGTTACTGAAGCAGTGTCTACTAGGTAAAGATTTTTAACACCATTTACAGCCTTACTTTCAATTTATATTTTTACAAATTCACCAATTACATATAAATACATTTGATTATCACCACAGCCTCAGCACAGATGTCTATTGTGTGACTGAAGGAAACACAGCCTAACTTTCATAAATTAATAAAGACACAGCTAGCCCTCCTAGTCAGAATGAAAGAAACTATTCACTCATTCTCTATTATACTTAGTCTCAAAAATAAACAAGTGTGACCTTAACTCAGACCCCCACCAACTAAAGCTGGCCCCACCAATTAATCCACTAAAACCTCTGTTGATTAATCTTCCAGTTAACCCACTTAAAGATTGTGGCCCCATTTTTATCTATCCGGTAGCCAAAAGACATCAAAAGAAGACCTCGCCCATTGGACTTCTGTGCCTGCAAATCTAACTACAGAAATTTGGAAACCGAATTGCCAATCTATTAAAAACAAGCAATGGTGAAAGATTCTTTCTGATCAGTACAGTTGGTGGACAGCAATTTCCAGTGGCATGGCAAAAGAGGAGGAGGCAGGATATGCAAGCATTCCAGTCAGACACCTCACTCTGAAGACTGCTACAGTCATGCACGCATTCTGTATATACATCTGTATGTATATATATTTTTTAAAAAATGAAACAGGCATCTCCTGTATCTAGTAATGAAGACACAGGAGATCTATTTTTTGCACACTGGCTGTGAAGATGACTTTCCCTCAGTACACATGCACATGCTAAGCAGCCATCTCTGGAGGAATTTTGCACACAACCATGCAAACCAGAGGCTGTGTTCTGAGCTCAAACTATCTCAGACCTTCCAGGGAGCAACCCAGAGGGGAAAACAAAACAGTGATGAGTGCATGTGCTGAAGGGTGCTGAATGCTGCAGAAAACAGCAGAAAACAGACAAGCCTTCCACCTTACCTGTCCAGAATTTAACATCAGCAGCACTACCAAGATCACCCGCCTGACCTA